TTAATTATTATAATATATACATAATTAATATAATTACACTTTACATATAAACACATATATACATATTTACACTTACACATATTATACATATACACATTATTAATAATAACACATACATATATATTTATATATACATTTTTACACATCTATATATACATATATACACTATATAATGTATACACATATTATTAATTATATATACATATCTAAACACAAATTACATATATATACACATATATACATATTTATACACATATATATTACACATAATATACATGTTAAACACATATATATTACATATACATTATATATACACATATACATTTATACACATATATTAATATAAAACAACATATACACATAACATTATATTAACATACATATTTACATTACATATATATAATACATATATTACATATATTCATATACAAATACATATTACACATTCAATCCATATCACATATATACATAAACACATATTACATTATACACATATATACTTATTACACATATATTACATATACATATATTTAAACATATAACATATACATATATATACATATAACAACATATATACATATACAATATATATTAATATACTCATAATATACATATACACATATATATACAAATACCACATATATTTACATATACCATGTATATACATATAACATATATCTTACATATACACATATATATTACATATACACAATTATATAACATATACACTTATATACATATACACAATTATATACATATACACAATATATACATATAAACATATATTACATATACACATATATAACATATTACAATATATATACATATACACATATATATACATATTACACATATATATACTATACACATATACTATACATATAACACATATATATACATATACACTTCTATATACATATACACATATATATACATATACACATATATTACATATACACATATATATACATATACACATATATACATATAACATATATATCATATAATACATATACACATATATACATATTATATATATATATATATATATTAACATATACAATATACATATACACATATATACATATACATATATATACACATATATACATATACCTATACATATACACATATATACATATACATATATACATATACACATATATACATATACACATATATACATACACATATATACATATACACATATATACACATATATATATACATATACACATTATATACACATTATATACACATATATATACATATACACAAACACATATATATACATATACACATTTATATACATATATACACATATATTATACATCTATACACATATATATACATATACATGTATACACATATACATTTGTACACTATATACATATACATGTGTACACATCTATATACATACATTTTTTTTTTTTTAAGAATTTTTACAATCATGTATTGTGAATGTGAATCTTATAATTTCTATGTATCATACAATAATTATCTTGCTGTCAACGTTCCTACAACTGCTATTATAGTATTTGTAATAATATATAGTGATCCCATTCAATATATGCAATACAAATCCTTACTGGGAAGTTTACTTGTTAAAGAAACAGAATGAAAGTAACAACAATACTGAAATTAAACTGCATTAGATAAAGAAATACAGCATGTCTTATTACTGAGTGAGTGATTCTTGTTATATGAAACAATTTAAATTTTGAGGACATAGTAGGCAATGTGGTTAATTACACCCATGACAAAAGTGCCATCCGAGACTGCCATGTACATGTGCTGTGCAACAGTGTGTGAGAGAATTAATGCACCTGCCTCCTCATTACTTACTAAATGAAGAGGTTGTCTTAGAGCGCGGGAATAGGCCTAAGGGGTGAGATTGAGTCACAAATATTATAGCAGTGAAGAAAATGGTAATTTGGGGGAAATTCCAGGAGTATAAAAATGTTACACTAAACATTCTAAAATAGTTAAAGAGTATTATTAGTTGGTAATATGTATAAATAAATTACCAGAGTAATAATCTAAAACTTCCAAATTTGCTAATATACTATACAGTGGGACCTCTACTTGCGAGTTTAATTTGTTCCATGACCTTGCTCGCAACTGGATTTGTTCATTTGCAGAGTCAATTTTCCTCATTTAAATTAACTGAAATGCAATTAATCCGTTCCAGTGGAATTCTGTACTTCAATAATTTCACTAATATCAACTCTACGGCTTATTTATCTATCTCACTTCTTCTAATATGACATAATAAACAACATAAATAACATAGAAACCTGATATATACTCTAAAATGAATAAAACATGTCATTCATGTAGTGGTATGGGCGGTGTCGGCAGTGGACGAGAGTTTATCTGGAGACCGGGCAAAATACTTAATGAATAATTTCGCTAATATCATCTATACAGCTTATTTATCTATCACAGTTCATCTAATATGACATAACAAACAATATAAATAACATAGAAACATGATATATACTCTAGAATGAATAAAATATGTCATTATGTAACAGGTGGAGGCAGCCATAACCGCTCCCTCTTTGTGGTAAACACTGCCATCTAGTGATGGCCTTTTGAAACTGTATTATAATTATTATATGTAGTACATTATTATTATATATATGTATTATTATACATATATTATTATTATTGTATTATATTATACTACTATTATTATACATATTATTATTATACATTTTATTATTATATGAATAATTTGTAATTTTTATTCACACAAAAAAATATAAGATTTACCGTTATTTCTTATTGCAATAATTGTATAAATAATGTCATGACTGCATATTGGAATGGACAGTAACGTCATTTGTTTACTCAAACATAGCCAAGCACTGGACCATTTCTCCTACGTGGAGCTCAATTTCAAGGTACTTTTCGTCATGAAAGCAATCAAAATCATATCTATTTCTGTAATATATCTTCCATTCTATCAAACGAAACAAAAAAAAAAAAAAAAAAAAACGAGAATACAACCATAAAAACCATACGAAAAATACCGCCGAGAAGTGAACGCCACATTTATGCTTGGATTTCTTTCATTTTTGGTGTATGTTAAGAAGGATCTTTCCATCATACATTGCCCAAGTTTCAATAAGATAGTCCAACAAACAAATGAAATACAATTCCAGAGATCAAGAGCAAGAGCCCTTCACCAGTGTCGAGGAACCTGCCTTGAGGTCTGCTCACTTATGGAAATTTTGCTTGCATATGGAAGCAAAAAATCGACCCATCGACTGCTCGTATTTGGAAAAACGCGCACATGGACATGCTCGCAAGTAGAGGTTCCATTGTACTAGTATTCCCAAAAATTATCAAATGCATAGCCTCATTATACTGAAGTCATAATTCCTGTAAAATTTATATAAAATAAAAAAAAAAAAAAAAACTCAAGCTGAGAACCATTAAAACCTATTTTCTCCTCACAAAAGTAAAATACAAATTCACCTACAGTCTCTATAGTTATTATTCATTTGGGGGCTATACCATTACTGATAACAATGTAACCATAGAAATGCAAGTTTACCTGTTTCACTTTCTGTTGCTGTTATTGTTTATTTGAGCTTCAGGATACATGTTCTGGGTAATCAATGTTACTAGCATCTCCAATAATTTGGTATACCTGAAGTTGTAGGGTGGCCAGGAAGTGGAATGACTTTGAAGTGGTGGAGGTATACTCCAGTTTTAAAAATAGGTATGATAAGGCCCATGAGACAGAGAACCTGATAAGTGACAAATTGAGATGTGGGGGCCAGGAGATAGGACTCAACCCATGCAACCACATTAAGGGAAGTACAGTGATTGAATGAATGAGTTTTTTTTTTTGTCAGTCATTACCTTGGTGGGAGACAGCTAGTTAAAAAAAAAAAAAAAAAAAAGTATTTTAAAAAAGAGAAATGAGAGCCATGCATCATCGCCCATACATCAGCAGGATAACTATAATCCTCTGAATCACAAAGAATATAAATGAAAGATTTTACATGCTTTATCACATTTTACACAAAGAACCTGCACGTAGGAGAGAGAGGAGCTTACGACATTTTGGTCCGACTTGGACCATTTACAAAGTCACACTAACAGAAAAGAGTGAGGAAAGCTTGTGTATACACTGGCTTTCTCACTCTTTTCTGTTAGTGTGACTTTGTAAATGGTCCAAGCTGGATCAAAACATCGTCATGAGCTCCTCTCTTATGTGCTGGTTATTTGTGTACTGTTCCAGTCATGGTATTATGCCCTTTTATCATATTTTGCTCAGCAATGGACTTTTCAGTCATAAAAGTTACAGAACACTATTGCCTTTAGTCTAATTTATAACAACATATCCATTCTAGCAGTTACACATCATTTTCCCAAAATATTTTTAAGCATGATTTGTCATTTTTTGTTAAGTACAAGCACTCCTCTATGCTTCCACATTCTCGTTTCCCAGTGTAACGAAGGGCTCCCGTCTCACTTTCACCTCGACCAAACCTGAAGGTTTTTGCAAACACTTTAAAGAATTTTAAATGTCTTGGATGACTCTACATACAATCAAAACCACAAGTTCCAGAGGAATACTGATGGATAGATGCCGGTGGAATGACAGAAGTATGAAAAAGATCTAAAAATATAATCCAGTGTGGCATATAGACAATGACAGCTACCATCTTTTTCTTTGTCATTTTCTTTTATCACACTGGCCATTTCCCACCAACGTATGGGTAACCACACACACACACACACACATTCAAAACACAATCTTGCCAGTAGGGTGGCGACATCACAGTTCACTTAGCCCTCCAAACTGCAATACAATTCTATGTGTAAAATAAAAAAAATCCAACTGAACACTTATAATTTCACCATCCTCTCACTCAAATACTTATGATATCCAACAATACAATAAAATACTGTTAAGCTGCCAGATAAAAAAAATAAAGTGGCTCTTGCTAAAAAAATTATTTAGCCAAATTGTTCATTACCTGGAGGTTGATTATTATTGTTGATTGCAGAGTTTACAGCATTGTTATCTAGAGACATTGAACGTGTCCTCTCGAGATTAGACGGCAAATCATTTAATCGCAAAGACAATTGCCGCTTGAATGGCGATGACTGAAAAAAAGAATCAAATTTATAATTATTTGCTCTTGTGCTGAATACCATATTGCACAGGTTTCCCTTATACCATAAGATGAAATATTAGGTCTAGATACAGAAATAAAAACAGGGCACTACAATAATCATTAAAAATTAAATGAATTTGTTAAAATGGCAAGGTAATAAATTAGTTACAAAAAAAAAATACTAAACTATACAAATAACCTATAAACAGGAGAAACTTATGACATTCAATCTGACTTGGACCATTAATAAGTCAATGGTACATGTCAACTGAAAGATTCTAAGTTTATCTCCTAAATGTGGATTATTTGTGTATTGTTCCAGCCCCAGTAATGTGACTCAATTACCTGGCTAAGATGCTGGAATACCCTAAAGGAGCCTTGACGCTGCAGCATGAGGGGTGTTGCATGAGGCCTGGCAATGGCATGTGGATTCTCTACCTTCTTCACAGGTACAGGGTCTGCAAGCAATACAATCATCTAAAATTCAAAGGATTCATAAAACACAGACAGACACAGACCAGACACAGACACAGACACACAGACACACAGACACACACACACAGACACACAGACACACACACACAGACACAAGAACACACACCACACCACAAAACACACACACACACACACACACACACACACACACACACACACACACACACACAACCACACACACAAGGTGGACAAAGACAGTGTTCCGAGTTGGGACACAGCAACAAGGACACAGTTGGAAGTTGAAGACACAGATGATAACCAGGGGTGTTAGGAAGTATTTCTTCAGCCATATAATAGCAGGAGTGGAATATTTTGGAACCGATGTAGTGGAGGCAGTCCATACATAGCTTTAAGCACAGATATGATAGAGCACAAGGTTCAGGGAGAGGACCTAGTAGCGACCATGAAGAGGCGGGCCAGGAGCTTGGACCACCCCTGCAAAACCCCAACTAGTGAGTAACTAGGTATGTGTTACACACACACACGTACACACACACACGTACACACACACACAACACAACACACAAAACTTGCCTAATTTTTTTTTTTAAATCAGGCAGTCTTCCACTACGTAGGGAGACCCGAAAAAAAACTTCATCACATTCATTCACATGTCTTGACAAAAGCATGTTTATATACAGTTTGATGACACTTTGAACTGCAACATCCCCACCCCTCCTTCAAAGTGCAGGCACTGTATTCCCACCTCCAGGCCTTTCTAGCAAACCAGTCTCCCCCCCCCCCCCGAGTCCCTTCATAAATGTTACCTTTTTCCCACCTAGCTATATATTTTATTTAACACTGGCCATCTCCTACCAAGGTAGAAAAACCTAAGAAAGAAGAAACATGTTCACCATCACTCATTCATTGACAGAAGCATACTGACATTGCAGCAGATGCCCCTCCGAATTGCAATATCCCCACCACCACCACTTTCAGTGCAGGCACTGTACTGCCTACCACCAATTAACCACTTTACCCTGAATCTCTTCAAAGATATTACCCAGTTACATGTGGCATACATTGCTCTGCAATATATCTAGCACAAACATTCATATCTCACGCATCTCTCTCTCATACTATCAGAAGTCCAATGTGGCCCTCTATACAGAAAGAGGGAAAGACAAGTTACAATGAATTACAGGCTGTTATCTCTAACGTGCATAATGTCTAAAGTTCTGGAGATTATGAAAAAGGATACTGGAGCACTTTAAGAGAAGACCATTCTTCACTGAAAATCCCATCTTATAAATTTGCTTGAGATAAACGGTCGCAAAGATACAACATGGCAGGGCTGGGGAGATCAGCTTCAAACATTCAATGGAGAAATTGATAATGCAACTTCCTAGTGACTTCGAACTTAGGTACTGGTATATTTTGTGATAATGGTTTGTGTGTGATAGTGATAGAATGCTCAGTCTGATTGACTTCAAACTTTCAAAGGTGGTGTTTTTGTGGAATATTTGAATTTGCTTTGGGCTTTGTAGCTGCCAATTTGCAATTTTATTGAAGAAATTGGAAAATCAATTTCCATGTGATAACCTGTGAATGCCTATCCTGACTGGCTTCAAATCTTCAATCTTAATTATTTATTTTTTTTTTTTATCATCACACTGGCCGATTCCCACCAAGGCAGGGTGGCCCGAAAAAGAAAAACTTTCACCATCATTCACTCCATCACTGTCTTGCCAGAAGGGTGCTTTACACTCCAGTTTTTAAACTGCAACATTAACACCCCTCCTTCAGAGTGCAGGCACTGTACTTCCCATCTCCAGGACTCAAGTCCGGCCTGCCGGTTTCCCTGAATCCCTTCTTAAATGTTACTTTGCTCACACTCCAAAAAGACATTAAGTATTAAAAACCATTTGTCTCTACATTCCGAAACCACCTCAAAAACCCCCTTCCTCACCCCCGGGACAACATTTTGGTAACCCGCACCTCCTCCCTAATTCCAAAACAGAATTCTCGCTTTAAATTTCACCCAAACTTTGCCCTCAGACATAATCTCCACTCCTCCAGCCTCCCCCTCGCTGAAAAACATTCATCACCCATGTTTCACACCCATATAAAGCATTGGAAAAAACCCATCTTCCCCTCTTTGCCCCCAAAGGACAAAGTTTTTGTCCCACAACCCAATGCACCACCACTTTTTTCCCCCCTATAAATTTTCTAGATTCCCCTTTTTTCATAGACCCACCCGCTACACTCCATCCCAAAATATCTGAATACGTTCCCCCTCCTCCATACTCTCTCCCTCCAATCTGTTTTCAATCTTTCATCCCCAACTTTTTGTTACCCATAACCTTACCTTTCCGATTCACCTTTAATTTTTTTTTTGGCACCCCTTTCCAAAAATCCCCAATTCGCAATTTCTCTTCAAATCTCCCAAGAGCATGTATCGCAAAGAAGCTTGACAACCCCCCTTTTGTGTGTGATTCTTATTTTTTAACTCCACGCCTCTCCCAAAAGCCCCCGCTTTTAAATTTCTCTTAAAACCCCAATAAATATATTAAACAACCACGGTGACACACACCTTTGTCAAAGGCCTACTTTTAGGGGAAATAATTTCCCTCTTTCCACATACTCTAACTTAAAGCCTCACTATCCTCGTAAAAACTCTTCACTGTTTCAGAAACCACCTCCTACACCAAAAACCCTTGCAACTCTGCCACATTCCCCCTACCCCCCCGTCATACGCCTTTTCCAAACCAAAAATGCCACAAAGACCTTTTTTCCCTTTTACAAAATACTGTTACTTTATTTTCACTGTAAACCCCCGGGTCCACACCCCCCCTACCTTTCCTAAAGCCCCCTGTTCATTGCTATCCTATTTCCTTTTCTTAATTCTTTAAATTTAAAACCCTACATACACTTTCCAGGTCACTCAACAATTATCCCCTATAATTTTTGCACTCTTTTATCCCCTTTCCTTTTATAAAAAGGGAAACTATGCATGTCTCGCCAATCCCTGGTACCTTCCCCCTTTTCCATCATTTATTAAAAAATTTTGCACCAACCACCCCAAAAAACTATACCCCACCGCTTTTAACTTTTCATCTTTATCCCATCACCCCGGGCTGCTACCCCCTTTCATTTTTACCTACTGCCTCACGAACTTCCCCCAACTCACAACGGGCTCTTCCTCATCCTAAAAGATTTTATTCCTCCTTGCCCTATACACAAATCACACTTCCCATCTTCATAAACTTTTAAAATTCCTCAAAATATTCCCTTTTTTTTTCCCAATACCTCTAACTCCCATTTAATAATTCCTCTCCTATTTTTTAACGACAAATCCATTTGTTCTCTGGGCTTTCTTAACTTTTTTAATCTCACTAAAAAACTTTTTCTTTTTTTAAAAAATTTTGTTGATAACATCTCCCCCCTTTCTTTTTTTGCTCTCTTTTTACATTGCTTCCCCACTCTTTTAAACCTCTTCTTTTTCTCCATAACTCTTCCCCCCTTTGCATCCTTCTACTTTGTAAAAACTTCATATGCAAACTTTTTTCCCCTTACAACTTCTTTACATCAATTCCCCCAATCCTCCTCTTCCCTCCTCACCCACTTTCCTGAAACCACAAACTTGCTGAAACACTAACAAAATTTTTTTAAAACCTCCCCCAAAACCTTTTTCGACCCCATTCCCTATCTTTTTCATTACCCATCTTCCCCCAATAGCTGTTTATATCTTCCCTAACTGCCTCCTCTTTTAGTTTATAAACCTTCACCTCTTTTTTCCCTGACTTCTATTTCCTTTATCCCATCTACCTTTATCTCAGGTAGTAAAACTAGAAAGGGGTTGATAATCGTGGCCCCCCTCTAAAAACTACATCCTGAAGTCTACTCAACAGCTTTTATCCCCAATAAAATCCAACAAATATGTCATTTCGCCCTACAATATGTTATACTTATTTATCCTCTTTTTTTTTTAAAAATATGATTACCTATAACTAAACCCCTTTCTATACAAATTCAATCAAAGGCTCCCCATTTCTTTTTAACCTGGCACCCCAAATTTTCCTCCACACCCTCTCTAAAAGTTTCTCCTACTTTAGCATTCAGGTCCCCTACCAAAATTACTCCTCACTTGGTTAAAAGGTCCTATACATTCATTTAAACATCTCCCAAAATTCTCTCTCTCCCTGCATTCCTTTTTCCCAGGTGCATACATTTATTATAAACCCACTTCCCCATCCAACCTTTACTTTAACCCAATAATTCTTAAATTTTCCCCATTCATATTCTCTTTTCCTTCCAAAACGAATTTTAAACATTACTGCACCCCTTCCTTTGCTCTAACTCTCTCAATACTCCGATTTATCCCATTTTTTTCCCCCCACGAAACTCTCCTACCCCCTTCAGTTTTGTTTCGCTTAGGCCAGGACATCCAACCTTTTCATTCTAACATACACATCCGTTTCTTGCATCCGCCTCTCCACGCACTTTTTAAGCATCCAATTTAAAAAATTTTTTTCTTTTCTCTTTTTTAGAAAAATTATACAAAAAGGGGGCTACTACCCATTGCTCCCGGCATTTTAGTCCCCTCATACACACCAGGGCTTACGGGGGAAAATTTTCTTTTCCACTTCCCCATGGACAATAGAAAAATAAAAAAGAACAAGACTATTTAAAAAAGGGAAAAAACCTAGATGTATGTAATATAATAATCTGTGCGTGTTTAAATTACCAAAGTGTAAGTAGGAGTAGCAAGATATCCTGTTATTTTACGGTTTATGAACAAAAAAAAAACACAATCCAAACCATCATCAAAAAAGTACAGGTTTTTTTTTGTTTCCATCATTGGCAGGACGGTATACTTCCCGGGGTGGTTGCGTCTCCCAAACCTACTACCTATATTCAATCTTAATACAATCTTAATACAAAATGTTTTGACTTATACCCACTATCAACCCCCCTTTTTTGTGTCACTGACAGCTGACCTTGTAGGATAGGAGACACTTTC